GCTTTCGTTTGCTTTAAATACAATATACACAAAACAATGGCCTATTGTTTTATAACCTTGATCTGAAATCTTGAACTTGACATTCATATCAAATAAATAAAAACATTTTAATATTGCTGAAACAGGCTTATCGTGTAAGCGATTTCTTCCAACAATTTCTAAACGTAAACTGTTGTTCCAAGGAAAAAAACTATTTAAATGTTATTGAGTTATGTTTAATTATGTTAGGAAACATTTTATTTATTAGTATATGATTTTTTAATATTACAAGTAATGCAATTTATTACTCCAAATCTTGCTATTTATTGCTCAAAAAAGTTTTATAAACGCCTGAAAAAGATATCTCTTACCGATTTTATTTAAATTATCAAACCCTAGTACCTAACAATCACAACAACAACCTAAAGGAACAATCATAAATCATAGACACTAAACCAAAACTAATAAATCACCAATGCCACAGAGTAAAAAACTGTATCGCGGAACTCAGATCACTCACGCCATTTGCACTCGACGCGAGCGCAAGCAGAGTCAAATCTCACTTGACTAGTGCATTTCTGGGTTCCAGCATAGTGTTGATTACGGTGTATTATATGGTAATAGGCGTAGCGGTAAGCGGAAGCGATAGCGAGATTATATTACTAAGTGTATAAATATAAACTATTTGCTGATCTAAACAACAATTATGTAGCCGTTAAAATTTGTTCCTAGCATCATGAAATAGTAATATTATTTATCGTTATATATTTTTTCAATTTAAGTGATATAGCCGCCCATGGACACTCAATGCAGACGGCTCGCGAGTGCGTTGCCGGTGCCGGTAAAAATTGGTACGCTCTTCTCTGTGAGATTTTTTTGTGACAATTTAAAAAAAAAAGCAACAATATCCCACAAGCATAGCTTCTCATATAAATTTGCTTTAAATAAATAACTGTATTTTTCAGCATTACCATTTCTGTCGGTAATTATATATATCTACTATGACGTTTTTAGATGTGCACAAAGTTACCCGAGCAGTGTGGCCTAGTGGCTTCAGCGTGCGACTCTCATCCCTGAGGTCGTAGGTTCGATCCCCGGCTGTGCACCAATGGACTTTCTTTCTATGTGCGCTAACATTCGCTCGAACGGTGAAGGAAAATATCGTGAGGAAACCGGCTTGCCTTAGACCCAAAAAGTCGACTTACCTATCAGATTAACAAATGATCGTGAAACAGATACAGAAATCTGAGGCCTAGGCCTAAAAAGGTTGTAGCGCCATTGATTTTTTTTTTAATTATATATATTATATATGTATATCGCTTCGCCTATACCATACCACAACTGAAGCACGTCACCTACTTACTCCTGTAAATTTTGCATAATGTTTTGTTTTCTCCTTGGGTAATGTGCCGTGAACGTTGTAATCTTAATTAAAGTTTTAATTCATCGATTTATTTACATCTAGTTGTACCATTTTACGGCCTCGTTACAAAACTGCGCAACGATTGCATATTAATTAAAATGCCAACGAGTTTTTGATTTTTATCGAGAGTAAGTACGTCGTAATTACGTTACAAAACAAAGAAATGGTATTACCAATTTTTTTAAACCATAACTGGTCACAAAAAAGACATGATATAATTATTTATTGCACATAATACAATTTGCATTTTTTAAATATAATTTTTTTGTGTTATTATTACAACTTAAACATAACAATCAAATATATAGTATTTACAATTTTACTAACCTTCATAGTTATAATAAAAATAATTAAAAATTAATAAAAAGAAAATTAAAACAAATTTAAAAAGCTTGGTCCTCTTTCACGCTGGCAGCATTTCCTCGCTGTATTGCGATACGTACGTATTCGTTGAGCGAGGAAAGGACCAGCTCTGGGGTCACCGATGTAATTGATTTTAATCTAAAGTATTCATAGTAAAAACCAATTTTGACATATTTTAAATTAGGTATTTGAACACCATATAAGATTTCTAATAATGTTTTCACATCTTCTATATACAGGCAATTAAGGGAAAACTAACAACAAAGAAAATGGTTTTGATGATTTTGACCTGACAGTGAAATTTGTTAGGGAAATAGATATACTATAAAATATAAATAGACTACAGACGAGTGATTCACGTGAGGCAATTTAATTGTTAGGGAGGCTAACTATAGTTTATACTTTATAGGACTATTCATCTGTATACAGGCCAAAAAGTCGTGGATCAAACGCAAATAGGGGATAGATGAGGTCATCAGCTGCAAAAAATTGTTGTACGGGAGGTCTCTAAGCTCAACCGCTGCAGAGTTATAATTTATTTTGCGTTTTAATAAGAAACGACTTTTACTAATTCTTATTCAATTTAGAAAAAATCAACATCCTGTATCTTTTTCATAATATTCACTAGATTGGTATTGATAAGTCCTTACGTTAGACGTACTATTTATAGGTGTTTATTGAGTGTATTAAAGATAATGTTAAGTTATACGATATCAAAATTTCTCAAATCATAACTTCTTGTTTACTTCGGTGAAAAAAAGTACTCTACCGAAAAGTGACCCTATATTACAAGTTTTGGCACTTTCAATAGAGATTTTGAAAAGGTATTATACATGGCCATGAGTCGCTCTAATATCTTTCTAGGACGAAAAAACAACAACAACGATGAGGACTTATGATAGATTATTTACCTACCTGTGACCAGAGTTGTGTGAATCTAGTCCTGGAGGTTTACGTAAGAATTTGATTGGATGGTGCAAATGATAAATGATAAATGATTTTTTTCTGTAAGTAGGTTTATACAAACACTTTTACACGTCAAACATTTTTTTTTTAAACTAGATGGCATCGACGTTTCCTATCTGACTACTCTGAGAAGCAACGCCGAAACAAACTCAGAGGTCACAGTCTCTTTTAAAGTCCAGACATAACAAGATGCAGATTAAGTATTATGGTCAGAGGCAGGAATTTTCAGCATTTATTGTAAAATGTTTTGTTTCCTACAAACAACGATTGGGAAATAATTGTTTTGATACAATTATTTCACAATCGTATTGTAGCTTAAGAAAATTGTTAAAATATATGTATTTTGTTAATGAATAAAGGTATTATAAAACATATATTTTATTTTAATTAACACAAAACGAGGATTTTTGTTATAAACACCGCCTCACGATGTTTTCATTCACCTTTAAAAAATTACTTGCGCACATAGAAAATGCAACCTACGGAATAATTTGACTAGACTACCACGACCTTCAATCAGATTTGACATATAGAAATTCGAAAACAAAGCTAGTCTGTGGAGATCGCAATCCTGCCTACACAGTGTGAAGATCTGTGGCAACGATGAGCTCAATTAATTCGGTAAGTAACGCTTTCACCGCGCAATTATTTGAGATCTTAATAAAAACTCGTGCATGTGTTCTGAATGGATTTATTATGTAAGTTTTAATTTGCGCAGATTTTAAAAATTAAATATAGTTTAGCGTGTATGCGTCGACGTAAATTTTGACGTAATTTCATTTCTCATTTGACTCTTAACGATGATAATTATATAATATTAAAATTAATTCGTTAATCCAACACACAAATATACAGTTGTTACAATATTCATAACCTACAAACTAAAAATTATAAATAGAATATTAAAACAATTTAAAAAGTTTCTTTCCCTGTGGCAGTGTACCTTTAACGCTGGCAGCATTTCCTCGCTGTATTGCGATACCTATTCGTTGAGCGAGGAAAGCACCAGCTCTGGTGTCACCGGTACTCTACCAGGCGCCAACTTAACCTAAACCTGAACCTCTCGGCCCATGAGTCTACTCCAAAGGGAATAAAATCAAATTTGGAGGAAAGACTCATATATTCGGCCATTTATTATTTTGTGTCTGCTCTGCGGCCGCACCAACTTTTGTGCTTGTCTGAGGGAGATAAGACGGGGCAAACCAGAGACGTAGTATTCCATACCAAAGCCCATCCCAACCATTATATTATAGTTCTCAATATTTTAAATTAGCGATTATAGATTATGACATTTATTAGAGGCGTAACATCAACAACACGTCAAACATTGTTTTTGGTATATCATGGTATCTTATTATTTTTCTATTTTTGGAGCAGTGTTGACCAAGTGGCTTCAGCGTGTGACTCTCATCCCTGAGTTCATAGGTTTGATCCCCGGCTGTGCACCAATGGACTTTCTTTCTATGCAAATTTAACATTCACTCTATGAAGGAAAACATCGTGAGGAAATCGGCTTGTCTTAGACCAAAAAGTCGACAGCGTGTGTCAGGCATTGGAGGCTGATCTACTCTATTAGATTGACAGATGATCATGAAACACACAGAAAACTGAGGCCCAGACTTAAAAAGGTTGTAGCGCCACTGATTTTTTTTGCACAAAGTTATAACGTTTATGGGCAATATATAAAGAAATTTTGCCCCAGTAAGTACAACAGTTATAACCCGTTAGTTATCGTGACTGGACAGTTGGATGAACAAACAAAAACTCTACAGTTTCTTATCGATTATCGAGATTTGTTATTGTAATCTTTTACGCTTCTGTAAAATAAGTGCTCTATACAAAAATATCAAAAGTGGATTTGAATTAATTTAAAGGAACTAAGTATCATATATATTTATTATTAAGTATCACTGTATATTATTATTAATTAAAAAAACGTGTGTGTGTACACAGATTAGAAGTTATACTTCTTTAGCGTAACAAGATAAAAATATTTTCAAAAATTTTATCCTACGTTTGTAGAAAAAACTAAAATGTTGACTAGAGCTAACTTCAGGGAGTCAGGTTTTGAGACCGTGTGCGCGCGCATCTTAAAAATTTAGTCTCATCATTTTTCCCTAACGCGCCAAAGAAGTATATAACTTCAATAATGTGTGGTGTCATACTATCAGTAATAGTCAAATGGATCCCACCATATACAAGTTTATTTTTTATCATTGTCCTGTTTACTTTTACGACCATAATATTAATCATTATTATCATTAAGTACTTACGATACATCAGGTGTAGTATTCGCCAGCAAGCGCACGCAATCAAGGCAGCCCCTAGCGGCGGCGTAGTGGAGCGCCAGGGCTCCATTGTTGGCTCTGCCGCCAGGCATCGCCCTCCCGCACCACCAACCTTCGACAGCTAGTCTACCGCTCCTATGACAAAAGATTCTCTCAAATATCAAATTTACCAGTACCACTATGACATGAATATTATGTTTATATTTTTTTTTTGCGGGCTTATATATTTTATTCCCTTTATCAAGGTTCTATTTCTTTTATTAATTAAATTATATCTCTTTAAATAGAAGGGACTTTATTATAGACATATATGTCCTTCAATCTTCTGGGAGTACATTCCATGGCCAGCCAAATGGTGTCGCCGCAGGCTCAAAACTGTTTTTTTTTTCTTATTTGAAGTTACTGAAATGTCGTTTCTAACTAAAAGTTCTATTACGTAAATATATTTTATATTCTATATTAGGCGGCTTTATAACCACTTACAGCAAGGTTAAGAGTTCGATTTGCGATGAAAACATAATTGTTTGGAGTTTGGCCACAGAAGATCACTTCTAGCCTTAAAAATAATAATCAAACAGACAAAAATATATCTACTCCATGCCATAAAGGTGGCGCGAAAAATACGTTTTTACGGCTGATCATAAGATACAAGTCTTTTTTTTAAATAACGCCATCTACCGCGTAGCTATAGTACTATTAAGAGTTCTATAATGTGGTTAAAATGTTCCATTCTGGTAGTATAACTATTCGACACTACGCTCCGCCACTTACATTATAGTCTACAACAATGAGGTTTCTTTGAATACACATCCATCAACTATAGTATTTAAAAAGCAGAAAAAATATATAAATAGTTTCACACGTTTGAGATTTATACAAATGTCAAATATATTGTAGTATTAGTTAGTTCCAATTAACGTAACTTAGAGCTATCTAGTGTTAAATAGATTTTTATTCTCACGAATACTATTCACTTTATTACTGGCCATTGTAATGTTCCATTGAGAAGCTCTTTATTTTAAGTGAGAACACACATTTAAGGGGTAGTTCTTTAAAACCACTCAATATAATACGAATTCCCAATCCGAGTAGTGGCTAATTGGAATAGGCTAAACTGTAATTATTCCACCCTTTTTGAACTCTTTTGAAAACAGCCTTGCGATTCTGTAACTCACTTTTCGAACTCGCACAGCGGTTTTCACAGCGGCGGTCGCGCTCAAATCAGTCGTGAAGCAGTCATTTTACGATTTGGCATTCTGATAAACAATAAACTACAAGCTCCCTTCTTATCGAAAACTCCCTTCTATGCGAAAAGTGAGTTACAGAATCGCAAGGCAGGTTGGATTATTTCTCCAAATCCGTAAATACGCGCGCATCAGCTTAAGCTTAGTGTGTTTATCTACATAATAATAATAAATCACTAAATTAATTATTATTATTATTATTATTATTCTATTACGTTAATTAGGTTTTAAGAATTAAGTCGCATGACCTGTTCATAGTTCTACTATAAACTATATTCTAGCTTGGAACACCCAGAATATATGGAGATCACATTACGTAATTTTTTTTCAACCCGCTTTTTTTAAACGCTCTACGTGGCAAACAAAAGCATGTCTTCAAACATAATTTTCAATCAGCCTTGCGATTCTGTAACTCACTTTTCGAACTCACACAGCGGTTTTCGCATCGGCATTTCTGAAAAGGTGGGAGCTTGTAGTTTATTGATTATTAGAATCCCAAATCATAAAATGACTGCTTCACGACTGATTTGAGAGCGACCGCCGATGCGAAAACCGCTGTGTGAGTTCGAAAAGTGAGTTACAGAATCGCAGGGCTGTATAAGTTGTATTCCAGTAGGTCTATAACGAGAAGGTTCTTGAATCTTCTCTTTCGGTTTCGCTAACCAATATTATGAATATCAAACACATGAGATTTAATACCCCATACCCAACCAGCCCCTAGAGGACACTTTTTTATTGACATTATTACAGTGTTATGATTATGATACCGTAAGTTTGCAACATAACTATCTACTGTCCGTTACCCGATTAACCTATAAATTTAAAACCGGTGTCAAAAACGGGACTCCATTGCGCATCTTACTATATTGCAGATCCTCTATAAATAGATGTCTAATTAACCCAGGCAAGCTTACTTAGGGGTCATATTAAATTTGACGTAAGTTTGGTACATCAATTAAGGTAGGAATTTTGAACGAAATTGTTCATAAAAATTTGTTTTGTCCTTTTTTTTTAAGAACAGGGGGCAAACGAGCAGGAGGCTCACCTGATGTTATGTTATACCGCCACCCATGGGCACTCTCAATGGCAGAGGGCTCGTGTGTGCGTCGTCGGCCTTTTAAAAACTGGTACGCTCTTATCTTAAAGGACCCTAAGTCAGATTGGTTCGGAAATACTTCAGGGGCCAGCTGGTTCCACATAGTGGTGGTGCGCGGCAAAACTGCCTTGAAAAACTCTCAGTTGTGGAACAGCGGACGTCGAGGTGATACGGGTGGAATTCCGTATTCTCGACGCGTGATGATGAAACTCAGCTGCAGGTATTAACCTGAACAACTCCTCCGAGCACTCTCCGTGCAGTAGAAGATGTTATAAAAGAAAGTTATATAAGACTACGTACGATGTCTCTGAAGAAATGACAAAAGATGACTCCTTATAATACAAACAAGTTCTTCACGATTCAACAAACTCCAAAGAGCATTAAATGATAGTGTAATCTGATCTCGCACTGCCTAATCACATAGCTCATTACAATATTGCATACACTGTAAGAGGCAAATCGTGATGTTTGTTTAAAAGCTTTCAAAATCTTTGAATATGTAGTAAATCACTTTTTATTAGCTAATATTGTAGCCGTAAGATGCAACATCTTTTTAATTGACAATTCGATAGCAATAGCAATTTAACAAAGTTAAAACTAGAACCAATTATTTAATCATTTAATAATAATAAAAATTGGCATCTTTTGCTAGAATCGCTTTGTTAAAATTAACTCATATTCATAATGAACAATTCATCATCTTAATAATATAATAAGCCATATGTATAGTCACTTAAAGCAAAAAAGTCATTTTCGTAAAAAAAAATTTGTCAAAATTTTAAAATCGTTAACCGCGTCTCTTGTTTGTGCTAGTATATATTCTATGGCTATTAATTATTATGTGATTCTTATTATGAAATATATAATGTATGTAAATTATTATAACTAACTGTAGAAATATTTATAAAATAAGTATTTTTATATATAATTACATAAATAAAAACATGTTATTTAACGCTGGTTGAAATTGCCGGTTTCATCTTCTATCACACTTAGTTATTTATTATTAATATATTATGTCGCAACCATCTCTAAGCATCTAATAAAACTTAAAAAGTAGCAATACTCAATATCTGTCGATGAAGGGTGTAATTTCAAACCCCAAAGATCTGTGGTTATTTCGACTCTGTGTTTGCGTGTTGTTCCCCCGAGAATGTAAGTGCGTGCTCCTATTTCACCATGCCTTCTGCTGATAGAGGACAAATCTTTGTTTTTAATTTATGTTATTATTATTAATTACTTAAAATGTCACATGGGACATGGTGTAATGGTTGCAGCTCCTTACAAACATTTTGGAAAACAAAAATGGCGATTAAAAAGAGTGGCGGAGAGTTTATAGCCAGTTCTTCTCTCCCGTTATATGCCCCTGATTTGAGAACTGGCAGTTAGTGTAAAATTAGAAGCATTAATATGTATTTCTTTACTGACAAGTCATAAGTGTACATTATGTTACCTATGTAATTAAATGATTTTTTTTTGTGCTCCAATGGACTTCCTTTTATATGAGCATTAACAATTGCAAGTAAAAAGGCACCACAAAATTATCCTTTTGTGTTTGCGCATGCCTACGCTTACTGATTATAAACAAATTATCAAAAAAAGATAAAATCTGAGGCCTTGACAAAGAGGATTCTATATTTATAATTTATGGTACCTTTCTCTCAACAAGATTTTTAGACAAATTTTAATCAAACAGTTTTAAATTTCGAACATTCACCTTTGTATTAAAGGGACGTCACGCTGTCTACATTCGCATCCTGTTATTTCCACCTGATTGTGCGTGACCTTAAAATTGTTCAATGACACCAACAAAACAATGTATGTAACAAAGGATACTATGGGTTGTTACTGATTAAAAACGTGAAATGATAACAATAAATTGTCTATAGCCTAGAAACCAATTCACACGTATACGTAATGTTTGGAGACGGGTTGGCCTGAGCTTGCGACTGTGCTCCAATAGACTTTTCTTTCTATATTTGCATTAAACACTCGCTAAGAAATATCGTGAGGAAACCGCCATGTTTTGAACCCAAAAATCTACGGAGTGTCTATAGACAGCTGATCCTATTATCTGAGCTTTTTGCCTATTGAGATATATAATCTTGATAAGAACAGATAAACAATAAATATTATATTATTACTAGATGAACCAGCAAACGTTGTTTTGCGATGTATATTATTTCTAGGTAACATTTTTAAGTTTAATAAAAATAACTATCTACAATAATAAAAATAAATATAAATATAAATAATAATAAATATAAATAATAAATATAAATAATAATAAAATAGGGGTTGATCGTAGAGGAGTGACAACTAGAGGTTGTATGTAAAAATATAAATCAGAAAAAAATTATCTAAAAAATAAAAAATAAATTAGTGGGACGGATTACAACTTTGACGGGATTTGAAAGGTAGATAGTAGCCGATTCTCAGACTTACTGAATATGCATAAAAAATGTAATAAGAATCGGTCGAGCCGTTTCCGAGGAGTATGGGACCGAACATTTTGACAAGAGAGTTTTAGTAATCTATATTGCCTAGGTCAATGTTCCAGCTATTTAGCAGCCATAGCAAGAGACGATGGCAAGCGGCCGGATGGGATCTTTGATCCCTTGGAGGATGGGACGGGGTTTGGTAAAAAGTAAAAAAGCTGGGGCGGCGGAAAAGAATAAATTGCTAAAAATAAATGCTCAAATATAAGAGTATTTCCTTCGATTTTGTTCTTCGAGAGACTCATGGGCCGTGGCCGTTCAAGTTCACAGGCGCTAATTAAAGATATAAGTTGGCGCCTGGTAGATAGTACCGGTGACCCTAGAGCTGGTGCTTTCCATGCTCATCTAGTAAGTATAGCAATACAACGAGAAAATGCTGCCAGCGTTATAGGTACACTGCCACAGAGACCAAACTTTTAAATTTGTTTTAATTTTCTATTTATAATTATTACCATTATTCAAAAATGAATTTATATATATTATTATTAATGTAATTAATTATCGAAACAAACTATATATAAAGAGCATTTTGGTAATTATTTTAATACGTAATTCAAAACTTTAACTAAAGTGCAATTATTTGAAAATAATTTCGTAATTTAAATTATACTAACCTAAAATTTCCGGCGCGTAACGCAATATCCAACGTGTCGAGGTCCTCATCATAACTATGGCAGAGCTCCATCGTTGTATTCCTAGCCTCGTGAATATCAAAGAGTACCGTCCCATCATTGGTTTTATCCGTCATAACACTTCGATACGACCGTGTCCCAAAACTGGATGTAACAGATGCGCCCCGCGGAAACTTCCTTGGTGGTACTGGGACATTCTGTATCGCATTCCGGTACCTCCTCCTCACATACCGACGCATTCTCAAAGACAGCATAACACGTATCCGAATATGACGCTTGATATTCCTGTCGTAGCGTAGCTGTTCTTTCATTTTCCGATTCCGCTTCTTTCGTTTCGGTACTTCGTCGATTGGTTCCAGAGTTCTATCATTCAGTGTACGATTGAAGTATTCAGCATTGTTGCCCTTCCACGACTTGCTTAATGACCAATTCTCTCCATACGAGGAATAGCTCGCTATTGGTTTCTCATATATATCCTCGTCTAACGCGACCATGCGTCGGGATATAAGAAAATTGTCGATGTTTCTACGCATTGTGCTGTTTTGTGAGCTAACTGTGTTTATTAAGTTCGATGTTAGTGTTTCCGATTTCTTCTCGCTCTTCGGTTGTTCTCCGACGTGTTTTTTGCGCCTTGCAATAGTCATGATGCGTCTGCGCATAGCGGACATGTTTGTTAGCTCGCTTTTTAGGAATGGGCCTTTTCTGTCTGACGTCATGTCGGGTGACCATGCTGCGTTTTCCGAGCAACTGCAGAAGTCTCTGAGAATTCTCGCTAATGCGCTGCAGCTGCTTTCTTTAGGACGCTCTTTGGCCATATTTCCATAGTTAAACCATAAATTTTCCTTTTTTCACTTTTCACTCATGAAGAATCACTATTATGAATTGTCGCACACGCACTTCAGAGGCAAGTTAGTCGAGTTATGAAGATGTATGTGTAATTAGTCGAGTTACATTTAATATTTCCGTGTAGTCATTGTTACGTTAGCATTACGTAAATTACTGTGAAATATTCATAGTGTTTTTAAAACCTACTTTCTTTAAAGTATAGAAAACGAATTACATTCAAAATTTATGTATTTTAATCGCATGTTGCAAATTGTATATAAAAGAACTCAACGCGCTTGAAGCTGTTTTAATGAAAGTAATGCGATAAAGGATGCCGTAATAATTAGAACATTTAAATATCTAAATAAATTTTGCGGTTAATAATTACAAAATATTAAAGCAAGTTTGTTGGTTAATCAAAGTACAAAGTTTACATTATTACTTTAGATAACTGTAGGAAAGAACTTAAGTTTTTACTACGAAGTTGTATTGTATTTTATCCAAATCTGCATATCAAAACTACCGCAATAAAAACGTTTTAATTACACATAAAAACCGTAAAATATACTTTCTCTAGGGTTTGTTAACATCTAGAATTGATGAAGACTTTCTACTCATATTGCATGCAAATATTAATTACTTAATTATTATCAACACAACGTTACTACGATTCTATGTAATTAAAGTTCTTTATTTATGTTTAGTGTCATAAATGTCGTTTTATACACGTATTTGTATAGTCTATGCCAAGACTTGTACAGTGAAGATAGTACAGAGACAATAACGAATTAATGATCTATAAAATAAAATATTTGCAATACTAACGTATCATTAACTAGTGTTCTGTTTTCGCATAGATTTATTTATTAAAACAGAAACAATGTATTGAATATTGTCTATGACATAATAAGAGTTGCACACTGAAGATAGCACAGGGACAATAATAAATTATCTATAAAAACAATATTTGAAAGGTATCATTTAATAGTGTATCTTCGTTTAGTACATGTTTTTATTAAAAGATAAATATTGTCCTTAATAATGTCTATGCCAAGAGCGGCACAGAGACAATAAGAAATTAATGGCCTATTAAAAAATTGAAATAGCAATATATTATTAACTTACATTATCTTTTATGTATGTATGTATGTCTTTGGATTTTCGCTGACGTCAAGTTATATCATGTAATAAATTTACGTTTATATAATTCGTTCTATTTAAAGTTTAAGTTCTTATAAAAATCTATTTACTTCGAATATACATTATGTATGATACTGTAGGGTACGATATGAAAAAGTTAGCTTCTTGCTATGTGTCTAAATAGACTTTAAATAAGGCGTCATCCATATAGACCTCCTGTAAAAATATCACCTCAGAGATAAGGTCGTGTACCATAGTACTATGTAAGTTTACTCAGTTAAACTTGTGTCTACATATAGTCTTCTTCTCTGTCGTCACTGTAAGGTACCTCCTGCTCTGCTAGTGATATCTCTCCACTTTGTTCGGTCTATAGCTTGGTCACATCAGCGGGTTGGCGATCTGCCTTCCACCTTGCCGACGACAACCAGCTTGTCCAGGTTATCTGGTTCGTGACGGACGAAATTACCAAAGTAAGTAAGAACTCTCCTATAGTATGATGTTGAGTCTCGTACGAACTCTGAGTTGTACGAGACTCTATACAGGCACTACTTGCATTCATTTACTATATGTAGACACAATTTTTACTGAGTATAGCCCAACTATGTACCGTTGGTATGGGGATACATAAATGCATTTCCTTGGTTATAAAAATGGATTTTATTGTACAGGCAGAAGTAATTTAATATATAAAAAATAAATAGAATGAATAAAAAAAAAGCGGCACAAAGAGTCATCCTAAATAGCAGTCGGTGTGTAATCTGAATCATCTAGTATACAATTATAATATTATTGAGATATAAGCAACCTTATTACACAGTGGTTAAGACTTAAATTTACGAGATGAACTACGCTAAATGATGTTTTTGTGTAAATCAATGTCATCAAACTCTGTCGATCTCCAAATCAGGCATTTGATTATGAAATGAAAGGCATTTATTATTCATAAGTGCATTGTGCATGCAATATCGCGTCGATGCTCAACTTTTTATCGCAATTTTCTACTCTAACCAAAGACAAGCGAATTTCCCATAGACAATAAAACATGCCACGCTTCCTATAGACAATTAAAATTGTTTGGCCTTACTGTAGTTATTATGTTTTAGTTTTGTTAAGTTTATTAGTTAAGTTTTGTTTAAATGTGTTTTTTTTGTTGCTATGAATGACTGTTACACGATTTAGTACTAAATCAAATCTATATATGTAATAGTTTTAGATTGACAGCCATTTTGACCGAATTTGACAACTACACAGAGTATGTCACTTGGTAAGATCATATTCAACGTGTAATTACAATTCGATTATTCAAACGGCTAACATAGTAACAAATATACAGTACATAATAACTACAAAAAAATATTCGTTCCATATTTTGGTATACAACTCGATTATTCAAAAGTTATAAACAAACTTATTAAGTTTGAACATATCTCAAATGTCTGCTCAGTAAAATATTTTTTTAAGATGAACAAATTTGAAATTTTTAAGGTGACAATTTTTCCAATTGACTTGGAAAAACAAAAAATTACACTTTATAACCTTCTTCAGTTTATTTGAAATCTGTTAAAAATTGCTTAAGTTCCTTTTGAATCCCAACACACTGTAATAACCGTTTTAAGCTAAAAACTAATTAACCAACAAACTCCCTCAGCAAATAATAAAAATAAAGCACATTCATACGAATAACAAAATTTTACATCAGTCAATGAACCTTAAATCACATCCAAATTACGCACTTATCACAATCCACAAAATTGTCAAAATACGCAAAATTCACGGTAAAGTAATTATACACTTGACCATGTCGAATTACGCGTGATGAGCAACTGAACGGCCACCGGCCTCGCTCTCACCCATTCCTATATAATGAGACTGTTATGAATTTACCAAATGGAAATAGACCAAAACGTCAAAATACTTTTAATTTGTCACGCTTAAAACATATTTTTACTGATATCTAAAGGGCCGATCTCTTCTACTAAAGTGGAGTAATCTGTCTTTGACATGACAATTGACAATCACAATTTGAAGTCGAAGTTAACGTCAAAAACATGTTAGTTTTTTTAAATACGGAAGACGTCTTCGACTACGGTGGCTCAGTGCTGGCTGTTCGTTTTATCAAAAGTAAATTTATAAGATAATAATATCGAAATAGTTGTTAAACAATTAAGTAACGAAATATATTTTGTTTTTTTAAATTATTTTAACAGGAAAACTTCAATTAAACTAGCCTGTATAAAACACGAAATAACATAGCAATAAAAATGTAAATAAAAGTAGTGCTAAAAGCACCGAAGAACCCACTACTATATCTATATTAATAAAATAGCTAAATACGTTGCTAAACTCAATGACGGCTGGATCAATTTGAATATTTATTCCTTACTATTTTATTTATTCCCTGAGTTCCGAGGATGATTTTTATGGAGGGAAAAATTGCACAGAAATAATTAAAAACCAGTTTTTTCTGTATTGTGAACGCAACAGTTTAGCAAATGATAACCCTTGTCTATTAAATAATAATACATATTTATTTAATATATACATAAGAACGGGAATATTCAAAAATTAATCGCTTCAGAGTATATTATTTATAAATGTTCCTGAGTACAATTATTTTTATTTATTTAAATTATACACTAATATTTTGCAATTCACATTTATTTTTTACTCAACTTACTTACTCCCGCTCAGGGGAATAGTCAATGCTCCGTGGTATATTCGCAATAACGACCTCCATCGGGACCTTAATATAGAGGACGTCGCCACAGTAATAAAAAAGACTGCTGGAGCCCACGAACATAGGCTCCACCATCACGTGAATGTCGAGGCTATTCAACTCCTTGACACCACGAGCCTAGTGAGAAGATTGAAAAGGACAAAACCGTTTGAATTAGTGAATTAGTGTTAGTGCACGTTAGTATTAAGTGCTAAACAGTGATTGAAAAAAATAGAACACAAGAACAAAGTGTCTTCCCTTTAATAGAGACTGTAAGTAGTGTTATTGGACACTTTCTTATGTTAAATATCCTTTGTAATAAATTAGGTTAGACTTAAATTACTTATTAGTCTTAAGTTTAGGCTAGATCGTAATATTCCATGATGTCTTAGTGAAGACACATGTATAAAAAAAAACTTACTTACTCCCAAGAATCATCTTGTTTGCTATAAAATTAATAAAACAGACACATTATTATGTCTGCCATACACTCCAAATGATTGGAAAAAAATGAAAAAATGCTTTAAATTTGTTAACTTACCAAATATCTAAGTTTTCACACCATTCCAAACAAGTTTTCCGTGTGTGTTTGAAAAGTGAAATTTGTTAGAAGCGATTATGTAAATTTAAATTGCATAATAATGCAACAATTCAGCTCTTAGTTTTATTTTGATAATAAATAAAACTCGTAATTAAATTTGAATAAATATAATTATTTAAATTTTATTCTGAAACTCACAGATATTTGTTGTATTCATGGCTGTATATGAATGAGGATGTATCATGAATTCCGAATTGTATTATGGATATTGCGAAATTCAAAAAAAGCATATTACTAAGATAGATTGATATTCTACAGCCAAAGAGTTTGTTTAGGAACTAAACTGATTTTTTGGTATTTGAATTGAGCTGCCGACTGAAGTATTTCCGAACCAATTTGACTTAGAATGAGCAAGAAAAGAGCGAGAAGAGACCCTTCAAAGGGTCTTGCGAGTCCTCCGGCAATGGCAATGACATCAGATGAGCCACCTCTCTATATAAAAGAATTTATTATTATTTTTGTATATGAAAGTTCGAGTATTTTAGCCATATTAAGCACGTATACTACAACGAAAAGGACGTAGACGAAATATA